TATCCGCCATTTGTAGTGCAATAGTTGTGGGCCTAAGTTTTCCCGACTCCAACTTCAACTCCTCTAACATCGACAACGGCATCACATTCACACTAGCCCCCAAGTCGCACAAGGCATTCTCAACATGGAAATCTCCAAAAGAACACTCAACAGTAAAGCTCCCGGGATCCTTGCATTTGAGGGGCAACTTCTTTTGAATTTTCGCGCTACTCTCTTCAGTCATGGCCACAACCTCGTACGCCTTGAAAGGTCTCTCGACTTTTTCAACCATAGCGGGCTCAACTTCTTTCACTTTACCCTTTGGCGGCTCCTTAACTTCATCCCTTTCGTCTTGAATATGGACTACATTGCATTGCTCCTTTGGATTCACCTCGGTATTGCTCGGAAATTGTCCTCTCTGCTGTAGACTTCCTACTGCCGTGGCCAACTGTCCAATTTTTTGTTCTATTGACTTCATTTGCTTCTCTAAGGTAGAGTGCTTAGCCTGAGATTCGCTCATGAATTGTTGCGTTTGAGTCATAAATGTTTGGGTGGTAGCTGCTAATGAGGAGAGCACATCTTCGAGTGTTGGTTTCTTCGGTTCGTTGATGACCCCGTTGGTCACCGAAAATCCAGGAGGTGGTTGTATCGCATTATTCGGATTTGCATACGATAAACTGGGATGATTCCGGTTGCCTTGGTAATAAGTGTTCCCCGCTTGAGGTCCTCGAAAATTCCCAAAATTCTAGTTATTCACATAATTCACGTCCTCGATCAGTTCTCTAATTCCTAAGTTCTCAGTCTTTCCCCCTTGTATGTTGTTTATCACAAATGCTGTTATTTGAGCCGCCATCGAAACGGCTGAGTCCGCCTCATTCGTAGCTGCCACTCTCTTAAGCATAGTCCTCTCAACCGGCCACTGATAGCTATTCGACGTCATCTCCTCAAGAATTCGCTTTGCGTCGTTTGGTCGCCTTCCCAAAAGGGCACCTCCAGCTGAGGCGTCCACCATAGCCTTCATCGGGCCACTCAATCCATTGTAGAAATAGCAAATTTGGTGCTCCTCCGAAAATCCATGCTGTGGGCACGTCCGAAGGAGTTGCGTGTAACGCTCCCAAGCCTCGTATAAAGGCTCACCATCTTGTTGTTTGAATTGAGTGATCTCCGTCTGAAGTCTCAACATCTTGCTCGGTGGGAAGAACTTTAAGAGAAATTTCTGACGCATCTCATCCCATGATGTCACTGTCCCGGCCTCAAGAGAATTGTACCACACTTTGGCTTTATCTCTAAGAGAGAAAGAGAAAAGCCTAAGCCGGATAGCGTCCTCCGGGTCTCCACTGTACTTCACCGTACCACATATCTCCAGAAATTGCGCCAGATGCGCATTTGAGTCCTCGATTGCAGCTCCCCCAAACTGCTCTTGTTGCACCATTCGAATTAAGTACGGGCTCAACTCAAAAATATTAGCAGCAATTCTCGGCCCATGACCTCCTCCGTATACTTGGTCCATATGAGGTTGGAAGATATTCCGAACCGGTGTTCCTGTCTCTTGTTGAGTCTGCTGTGTAGCCAGTTGGCGTTGTAGCTCCGCCAGTTGTGCCTCGAGCTGTCTATACCTCTCTTCACCTTGTTCCTCCATTGCACTTCTCAGTCGTTGTTGTAGTCTCCGATTTGCGTTGTTCCTTCGACAACTAGCTTCAATCTCGGGGTCAAATTTCGCGGGTGAATTTCCACTAGACCTCGTAATCATGCATGTGCCTGTCAAAACACACAAACCAAAAACGATGCAATTAAGAACCAAAGTATTAAATAAAAATAAAAATGACTAAAGTAATATCTACCCGTCTTCTTCTAATATTAATTAATTTTAACAAAACAATCCTCGACAACGGCGCCAAAAACTTGTTCGCAAAATATTTTCACTACCCGCAAGTATACGGTGTAGCTGTAGAAAGCAGCGAGCAAGGCCGTATTCCACAGAGATTGTTGTTAAAATAATTAAGTACCGAAATATAGACGATTAAATATTATTTAGACTAACTCAAATTTGAATGGTGATTTTGTTCTAAACTAAAGAATGAATGCAAAATAAATTCTTAACACTAAAGAAGGCTTATTCTAAATAAATCAAGTATGAGAAAATAGATTCTAGGCTATACTTTCCTCGGGATTATTCTAGCGAAGTTTTCTTATTCATTCAAACCTTATTTAATTCTACCAAACGTAGAGATAATCGCTAAAGTAATTTACACCTTTCTCTCGAACAAGTTAAATCGTAGATATTAATTGTTATCTATCTCCTCTCGGTCTCAAGATGAACAACTAACTCCCATAACCTCCTAAGATTCTAGTTCCCTCGCAAGATTCTATCAACCTCTCGGTCTGTTTAGTCTCTTACGTTATGAATTTCCCAATTCTAGCAAATCAACTATCTTCTCTCGGTCTCAAGTCAATCACAAATATGCATAAATACGAGCCCAATATTCACACAATTCATATAATCACAAGAAATTGATAAACGAAAGATAGACCGGAATGAATAAACAAAATCACTTCATAAAATAATCCGAGTACTCGCAAATCCTAGAATCTCAAAGAGATTTAGCTACTAAACATATTCTCAATACTCAAAATAAATAAATCCATGAGTTCAATGAAGAAGAAAAAAAGAGAAAAGAAAGAAGAACTATTGTCGCCGTTAGTTCTCGGATCTTCAATCTTGACTTCCTCGAATCCCTCGTGTGTTTCGTGCTTTCTCTAGGCCTCCAATGGTGTCAAAAGTCCCAAAACCGTGTTCTTCAAGTTCCTTATATATTGTAGGGCAAATATGGGTCGAAAAAGGGACAAAATCGCGTAGGAATCCTATTTTCCGTTGGTCACTCTGCGCGTCACACGACCCGTGTCACATGCCACACGAGTCGTGTGACTTTCAGACTCACACGACCCGTGTCACCTAACACACGACCAGTGTGAAAATGCCGTAGCTAATTCTCCATTCTTTTCACCCCACACGACTCGTGTCACTGACCACACGAGTCGTGTGACCTGCCTGCACCTTGTTTTCGCCGTTTTTCGTCTCAATTCCATCTTTAACGCTCTTTCGAGCATATTTCCCACAAAACCAACGACAAATGTATCTCTATCATAGATTAATAAATCAAACAAAATGGTGCACAATCCCACGATAAACACGGTTAAACATCACAGTATATCACTCATAATGCATGAAAATATGATGAATGTCATTACCTAAAAACTTAAATTGAAATTTTGAAATTCAAAATACCTTCTCATTTTAGTTGCCATAAAATTGGGCTTAATTCAAAATCGCTTCCTAAAATGATTTTGTTCAAATTGAATTAAAAAATATTTAATCACATGCTTCTATCTAGGATGGTTAACCTTAAATGAAGAATTTTGCGCCACTACAAAATTAACAAACCTCTTGGAAATTACAAAATTATAATGAATTTCATTTTTTTAGGTTTCAATTTGCATGAAATTCAAAATGGCTTAAGAATTTCAAATACATCGAAATTCATCTCTTTAATTTTTTTTTCCATAAGTTTCAAAATATTACAATAATTAAGTCAAATTACAAATGTATTGTTTCAAAAATCAAGAGAATAATTTTGAAAATAGACAGTTTTTTTTTTCAATATTGTCTTAGTCTCCATTCAATATAAAATAAATCTCATTTTATTTGTAAAATTGATAAATCTGCATAAAACGTGGAATTTTATGCGTACAAAATTCCTTTTTGCAGTAACTAAAAAATAATAATAATTTTGAAATCTTATGTACTCAAATTACTTAAAAGAATAATAATAATATATTTACAGTAAATGAAAAGTAATAATAAATTTGAAACCTTCTATACTCAAACTATTTAAAAGAATAATAATTATAATTTTAAGATCTTTTGTACTCAAATTACTCAAAAGAATAATAATAATAATAATTTTGAAATCTTCTATACTCAAATTTTCAGGTACAATAATATCGTCATAATTTTCAGAATTTTCAGCATCATGTCAATATTTATTTTATATACACTAGGTAATTTTTCTTTCAAAACTTTATAATGTATTTATTTAGGCTTATAATATTTTAGATACTTTTATATAATATTTTATCATGTCATATTCAGAAAATATTTTTCGTACAAATGTAAACTTTAATGTTTTTAGATATATTTTTTTTTACAAAAAAATTTAAAAAAAGTTTTAGGTGACTTCACATCTTTTAAAAATAATATAGAAAAGTTTAGATAATTTTACATATGTTAATATAATATTTAGGAGTTTTTAATTGTTTAAACATACAAATTTTATGTTCTCTTGAACAAACTAATTTTATATCGTTTATAATAAATTGATATACAGCAAATTATATGACATGTTAACCCCCATCGTTAATTTATAATTGTTCTTTTAATATTGTTTACCCTCATCGTTAATTTATAATATCTCTCTTGCTCTTTTAAGAGAAGACCAATAGTGGTTCCCCACGTTTTTTATTAGGTGACTCCAACTCGATACTTATTAATAATTATTAATTAATATTATTTACTCGTGCATCGCACGAGATACGCACTAGTAGTTGATAAAGAAAAAGGTAGTCATGACCCCATAAATTTGAAAAAAAAAAAAAAAAAAAAGCATTATTCATTATGGTTTTTACAATCTGTACAATCGATGTTTTCGAACTCAATAGCAAGGGACATTATTACTGGTGCCATGCATCACTGTGGCCTAAAAGAGGATTATATTTCTCAATATAATTTTCAAACTCTCCTAAGCTTTTCATTTTTCTTTCGGCCAATGATCATTCTATCTAGACACTTGCATCTAACACCAGTTTGAATCAAACTTCGCCAACCAATTTGTAGTTATGAAAGCTAATTATTCTACTTATTAATTCCAGCCCCGATGGGGATGAGGATTCTACGTTCTTATGAAATATAGTATTCATTCTACAAGAACAACATTTACAACTGTAACTCGGAGAACTTCATTGGTTTAGCCAGTGCGCGGGAGTAAAAAGCTGAAGCCCGAGTTTTCACCCATTAGAGGCGGTGGTTCAATGTCTGAGATGTCTATCTGTTCCATCGATTTTGCTATTTCATCCACCGAGAATGGTATGCTGCAATAAAAAAAATAATATATATACGACGTGCTAAAACAATTATTAAAAAAAAAAAAAAGAACATTTATGTATGTTTACATCAAAGGATATACCGAATTTATATATAAATATATAAAAAACAGTTAATGTCAAATAATGAGTTTGTAATTTTAGTTCTAACACTTTTCACACACTTTCTTTAGAACTTAATCCAACTATCAAATGTTTGTTTTCAAGATGAAAAAGTTCTGAGCGTTGAACCTAACCTGGAATCATCATCCAGCAGAAAGGAATTGCTTACTGCATTATTTGAATCTTCAGTCATCAACACCCGCATGTTGGATATAACCTTCATGAAAAAATAAATAAAACTTCATTCATTAGTGTTAACAAATATGAACTTGTACAGATCTCTCTCTCTCTCTCTCTCTCTCTCTCTCTCTCTCTCTCTCTCTCTCTCTCTCTCTCTCTCTCTCTCACAAAAGGATTATCTTGAACTAGTTTCAGTAATGGCATCCATAGAAACTTACATCCGAAGACACACTGTGTGTGCCATACTTGTCATCCCAATACATTGTACTAATTCGATACAACTGCTGAATGCTGAGGACCTATTCAACATAAACAATATTTTAAACACTGTTGGCATAAGTCTCCAACTTGTTATTGCTTAAGAGACAACTCACTGGGCAAAGTTGATGACTTATTTCATCCAATGTTTTCTTTGGCTTTTGGTGGATAACCTGGATAACCAAATTTATTCGGTAATTGAAGGGTCACACTGCTATTCAGTAGGATGGACAAAATGGCCAAATGCATTACCAGAAACCCAATGGCTTGTCTTATATGCTTGAGCTCATCCCAGGCTGAACCTGCATACTGCACATTTTCTCTATTATTAAAATCTAACAAAGATTTGAAAAGGGAGAAGTACATACGCACAACTCAGAAGGACCTCTTCAGTTGCATTGATACACCAATGTTCTAATTCAGCCAATCCCGCTTTCACATATTCCCCGTTGCTGAATGAACAACATTCTCGTCTTAATAAAAGACTACAGACATGAACAATGCACAAATAATGTTAGAACTTGCTATAAAAACTACAAGAATTTCATATTAAAAAGAAAAGCATGTTTAACCTGTTAAATAATTGAACATTGATGAAAGAAAATATTTGCGTGAACACCTTGCGGACTAAGAAAGGGGGTACCTGTGATATATGTATAAATGTGTAAAATCGGAACAAAAGAATGACAGCCTGCTCATATAGTCTATAGAGATATCAAAGCAATTAGAGTAAACAAATCATCATGAAAGGCACATGAAATGCCTTCCGATAGCTATGGGTAGAGATGTCAAAACGGGCTGGCGGGGCGGGCCCCGCCAGCCCGCAGCCCGCCAAAACCCGCCATTTGGCGGGGCGGGGCGGGGCGGGGCGGCCCACCATCCTGGCGGGCTGCAAAATTGCCAGCCAGGCACACCCCGGCTATGGGCCGCGGGCTCGGCGGGCTGGCCCGCCCATTTACAAAAAAAA